CTGCTGGGGCTACAGGGAGACACACTGTGTCAAAACTAAAAATAAATAAATAAATAAATAAATAAATAAATAAATAAATAAATAATAAATGAATGAAGTTGCTCTAGCTGGGCCTGTGGATCATCGATCTCCTGGCTGGATGATCACCTTGCAGGAAAGCTGACTCACCTGGCAACATGCTGCAGAAGGAAATGAAGGAATAATTATTCCGTAGAGACAATGCCCTTGTCCTCCCCGAAGCCCCTCTACATGGAGCTGCTTACTGAGCAGCTGCCACACAGCCTTGCTTAGCCTGCCCGCTTTTCTGAGTTCTGATTCAAAGAGCTTAACTATCCCTCTCTTCTCTTTCTGTCTCTCTAGCCAAAAGCCTAGGCATGTTTCCCTGACGCCCTGCGCCTTTCTCCTCCTCTGAAGCCCCGCCCTGCTGACACACTGTTGCTTACAGCCTCCATGGTCAAACACCAAGTCCAGACCCCAAGTCCAGAAGGCATGGCTTTCTCTCTTCCTCCACCCACCCCCTGGCAGCTACCTACAGTTACCTGCCTGCTCTGTTGTTTTTCTTCCAAATTCTAATAAAATGGTCCTCAAATTTCCTTTGGAGTCTCTTTTAAAATTCTTTATTAGTAACATTAAGAACCCAAAAGGGAATCCCAATTTCCCTGGTTATGTTACCAGAATTAAAAATTTTCCTCCAGAGGAAGCAGAATTATCTCAATATGCAAGAACAAAGGTTTCTACAACTAGCTGGAAATGGCATTACAGATGCAGCTTGACTTCAGTTTCAGAAAGGGGAAATACTCAAATTTATTCACATTTCGAATGTGACTAGATTTTTAGACCTCCACAAAAGCAAAAGGCCGAAGTAATGTAACAGAACGGAATTGGTCAACCCTAAAGGTCCATGTGCAAGGGTAGAGCATATTGTAGCCTAAACACCCAAAAGAAACAGCACTGGGTTCGATCCTCAGCATTACATAAACCCAGCGTGGTGGTGCGTGCCTATAATCCCAGTACTTGGGAAGTGGAGGTAGGAGGCTCTCGAGATCAAGGATCAAGGTCACCCTTAGCTACACAGAGAATTACACACCAGCTGGGTTACATGAGACTAAACGCACACACACACACACACACACACACACACAGACAGCTGGTGAAATAAATGACCATTGCGTGCTCAGTCCTAAATGGGACCTCTGTATCACCCCCTCCTGATCCTCCTGCCTCCACCTCCTGAATACTAGAATTACAGACAGTTGTTTTATTTCTGAGTCAAGGTCTTACTATGTTGCCCAGGCTGGCCTCTAGATCATGATCCTCTTGCCTCAATTTAATAAGTACTGGGATTACAGGTATGAGCCACCACTAGCAGCTGATTTTTTATTTGTTTACTTGCTTGCTTGCTTGCTTGCTTGTTGAGACAGCGTCTTATGTAGCCCAGGCTGGCCTCAAATTCACTGTGTAGCCAAGGTTGGCCTTGAACTCCTGATTCTCCAGCTTCCACCTTTCAAGTGCTTTTATGAGGACACACTGCCAGGCCTAGTTTATGCCATGCTGGGGATTGAACCCAGGACTTCATACATGCTAGGCAAGGCTCTATCAACTGATCTATACCCTGCTCCTAGCACAAAAGCTTCTAATTTGTTTTTTAATCTTTTTAAGATAGGGTCTCTCTATAGCCCTAGCTGTCCTGGAACTCACTATGTAGACCAGGCTAATCTATACCCTGCTCCTAGCACAAAAGCTTCTAATCTGTTTTTTAATCTTTTTAAGATAGGGTCTCTCTGTAGCCCTAGCTGTCCTGGAACTCACTGTGTAGACCAGGCTTAAAAGCTTCTAATTTTTAAAACCTGAAAGTATTCAATAGCTGCCCTCTGCAGTTCAGAAGTGAAAATTCAGTCTTGTCTTGGGAAACAGGGCCCACATGCTGTCTGCACAAAGGCAGCTGCTAAAACAACTGGGACGAAGGACCCACTCCACTGCCTGCTCGGGAAGAGTGGCAGGTAATTCAATCAGTTTAACTTGGAAAGTACAGTGAGTGGGACGAAGAGGTGACGGCCAAGGATGCGCAGAACGTAAATTCCATATGGAATCAAGACAGGAATAAAGGTCCAAACAGCACCAGGGCTCCGGGAGGTTCCAGGCCCTGTGTGGGGCCAACTTCAGGAGGAGAGCTGTGCTCTGAACCTGGGCCTGCCTTGGCAGCTCACCTCAGCCCACTGGGTGGGACCGTGACTCTGGACACGCAGGTCAATAAACCCACAGCCATATAGTTTCCCTGTGTCTTAAAAGAAATCAGGATACAGGAATTGGTAAAGGAATTGGTAAAGCCTCCCTGATGCTTTGTTTGGCCAAACCAGAGAGAGAAAGACTCTGGCTTCCATCTCTTCTAAAGCACTGTCAAGATTTTATAGCCTGGATGAAATGAAGGAAAAAGCACGTGCTGATTTAATAGTGGGAGAGGCTGGCAGAGCTGTATGAGGCCCCCCTGCAAGGCAGGTCTCCTCTCCTGGCACTAGGCTTCGGCCTGTCCCTCCCCCAGCATGAAGCTCCTGGGGAAACTTTTAATTATTTGATGTCCATTGCTTAAGTAGTCTGGTAGCCAAAGGAAGGGCACAAGTGTCTCTGCAGAGCTTCTTGTCTCCTGACAGGAGAACTATCAAAGAATGAGAAGGAGCCACCAGCCAAGGGAGGGAAGGGGAGCCACTAACAATGGAAGCTGTCAGCCATCAGTTTACACATGAGCTGAGAAAACACCACTGGGCTTTGTTTAAAACTGTCAATACAGTTTTAAAACTCAGAGTGACAGGGCTGGGGACGTCAGCTGGTAGAGCACTTGCCTGTATATGAAGCTCTAGGCTCTATCCCCAGTACTGCATAAAACTCAACATGATGGTTCACACCTGCAATCCCATACTTGGGAAGTAGAGGCAGGAAGATCCGAAGTTCAAAGTCATCCTTGGCTACAAAGAGAGTTCAAGGCCAGCCTGGGCTACATGAGACCCTGTCTCAAAAAATCAACCAACGGGGGGCCAGGTGTGGTGGCGCACACCTTTAATCCCAACATTCAGGAGGCAGAGGCAGGCAGGTCTGTATGAGTTCAAGGCCAGCCTGGTCTACACAGTGAGTTCCATGCCAGCCTGAGATAGCCACATAGTGAGACTTGGTCTAAAAACAAAAACAAAAGGAAACAAAACAAAGAAGAAACCTTGCTTCATTGCTCTTCTGTTGGGACCATTGTTAGGGTTGGCACAAGTGACTCAGGTTTTATTCTGACAACTTTCACATTTTTCTCCCAGGACTTCAGACTTTTGAAAGTGGGACTTAAGGTACCCAATACTAGGTTAGATTAAAAGGGGGGGAATGAAGCTGGGTGTGGTGGGGCACACCTTTGGTCCCAGCGCTTGGGAGGCAGAGGCAGGGGTATATCTGTGAGTTCAAGGCCAGCCTGGTCCACATAGTGAGTTCCAGGCCAGCTAGGGCTACGGGGAGACCCTGTCTCAAAAAGAGTGAAAAAAAAAGGGTAGGAAATAATAGAAAGGCATTGCCTTGCCTCCCTGATACAGAATGGGCAGCAGTCTGGAGAGGGAAGAGGAGGAGGAAGAGCAGAAGAAGGAGGAGGGAGGGAGGGAGGGAGGGAGAGAGGGAGGAGAGGAAAAGGAGGAGGAGGAAGAGAAGGAGGAAGAAGAGGAGAAGGAAGAGGAGGAGCCCTGCACAGAGCGTTAGTGAGGACCATCTTTGGCTGTGTCTGAGGATTATTTCCAAAGAGGCTTAAGGGAGAAGGGAAGCCACGATGCACTGTACCCTCAAACCGTGCCCCAAATTAAGCCCTTACGTTCCTTCTTATCAGGTTTTTGGTCACAGCAACAAGAAACTTTCCTACTGGTACCCCCAGCGATGATGCTGAGGCCAGCCTGACTGGAGGGAAGCTGGAGGACAGTGGTATGGATAGTGGATGCCCAACATCATCCAGTGTCATGGTCCTGTGATACCCTGATCCTGGGGTTTCACGAGCTGGGGTTCTTGGGGTTCTATCCTATGAGTCAACTCTCAAGTCCTATGAGATTTGCATTAAAGGCACCAAGACTTTGCTCTTTCCCATGAGCAAACATGTCACACCCTGCAGTAAGCTCACCTCCAAGTCAAAGGGATTTTCATTTTCCCAGTAATTCAGTGTTTCCAAGACAGGGCGCGTCTTGCCACCTTCCTCTAGTTTCATTGACACACGAGCATATATAATTGACACGATTCAAGAGAATCACCTACCTGCTGGTCTCCCCAGGTCTGGAGCCCCAGAAAAGGAACTGACATTGAAAATGATAAATTTGAGGAAGGCTGGTAAGAGAGATTGGGGGGGTGGGCAAGCAGAGAGTCACAGAGTTTAAGGAAGTGATGTGTAGGAAGGGAGCTTCCTTCCTTCCAGCATCTTTGGGGGTTGTTTGAAAGGAGGGGACGCTGGTCTCTATGCCGTGACTGCTATCTCTCTTGCTCTTTCACTGTGGTATATGCAATCTTGGAAAAGGTGCTGGTTAGGAAAAAGACTCTCTGGCAAGGTTCCAGTTTAAATAGTTGGTAGTGTCAAACAGTAGGGTGGGTCCTGCGGAACAGCACAGAGACTCAACCTGTCAGCTAGTTTCTCTTCTGGACATGACCCTGACACTGAAGCCTTTTACTGCAAACTGTAAAAAGATTCTGCAGGAAAAAAAAAAAACAAAAAAAAAAAAACTCAACAGAATTGGGGTTTGGATCACCTGCTTCGTTCTGATGAATAAAAATTAAAGAATATTTTTAAGTTCAGAAAAAGCCAAAAATAGAGGGTACAGGGCAATACTGAGCTGTTTCTGAAATTCCCACAGGACTGCGACTCCTCTGGCCCAGGCTGTGGAGTGAACAGCGGCCTGAGTCCTGTCTAGTCTGCTCCAGATCAGCTTCTACCAAGCTCTCTCTCCTGGGGCTGTGGGGCCTTTGGGAGACCAAGACAGGAGGCTGGTGAGGTACAGGCCATGGTCCCCCCACACAAGGACAACAGGGAGAACATTTGTCCCATCTGCCTGGAGCCCCTGAAGGAGCCGGTGAGCACCGACTGCAGACACCACTTTTGCCGTGGGTGCCTGACCCAGCATGTAGAGAAGGCCTCGGGGTCCGGGATCCTCAGATGCCCCGTCTGCAGGAAACCCTGCTCTGAGGGAGTCCTGGGAGAAGATTACATCTGCTACAGACACCAGAAGAGGGTACACTCGTTCTGTGAGATTAGCAAGTGTCTTCTGTGTGTGGACTGCCTCAAAGCCCCTGAGCACCAATCTCATCTTGAGCCCACCATTGAAAATGCCATCAGCCACTACAAGGTAAGGTAGTGCCACCCTGTCAGCCCCTGCTGCTGACTTCCTGAGCTACCCTCCTTCCTCCGCTGGGGACCTAGTGGAGGCTCAGTGACTGGCAACCTCCTTCGAGTCCTTTACGTCATCCTAGGTGGGATCCTGGTCTTTTCTTCCTTTTATTTTCTGTGTGTGAGTGTTTTGCCTAAATGTATCCATGTTGTGCAATACCTTTGGAGGCCAGAAGAGGATGTCAGATCTCCTGGAACTGGAGCTATGGACAGTTGTTAGCCACTGTGTGGGTGCTGGGAACTGAACCTGGGTCCTCTGCAAGAGCAGCCAGTGCTCTTAATCACTGAGCCAGCGCTCCAGCCCCATCCTGGTCTTTTCTTAGTGTCTTCCTAATGTTTGGGTTTCCAGGCCTCACAGTCTAGAAGGTGGTATGGCCACTGTGAGGGAAAAATTTCAAAAACCATGAGCCAGGATGTTCACTCATAAGATGCAGGATGAGGTCATGAAAACACCTTCTGCTCCCTGGTGAATGGTTCTAGAAGCTGGGCTAGAAATGAGATCAGGTTTCGACTATGCTCACAGTTATCCCCACAGAGATATGAAACTTGAAAACTTGTGCACGGTGCTCAGTTTCCCCGCCCTTCCCTTCCCCCTTTCCTTCCTTTATTTATTATGGTCATTGTTTCGTATTTATTTTTTTCTTATCAATGATTCATGCTCTTGGTAGTAATTCAGATAACATTGAAAAGTAAATTTTCAAAATTAAGAATCTTTTTTTCTGCGGCTGGAGAGATGACTCAGCAGTTAAGAACACTGATTGTTCTTGCAGAAGACCCGGGTTCGAATCCCAGCACCCACATGGCAGCTAACAACTGTCATAACTCCAGTCCCGGGGGATCTGACAGCCTCTTCTGTCCTCCATGGGCATTGCACAACACGGGCGCACTTACTTAACATGCAGGCGATACACGCATACACATAAAATAAAAATAATAAATAATTTTTTAAAATCTTTTTTCTGGGTCATTGAGATGGCTCAGAGGGTAAAGGTACTTGCCACCAAGTTTGACAACCTGAGTTCAATCCCAGGGACCCACATGGTAGAGGCAGAGAACTAAATCCTAAAAGTTGTACTCTGACCTCCACATGAAACAGTGACACGTACCCCCATTAAATAATTAATTAATTAAAGGTAATAAATGTAACTAAAAATAATAAAATCTTCCTTCCTGTCTTTTCCCATTCTCAATCTCCAAAAGAAACCAGCATTAGAATTTTTGTATATTCTTCCAGAAAATTGTGTGACTACCCTTTAAAGCACATTAGCCGGTGTGGTGGCGCATGCCTTTAGTCCCAGCACTTGGGAAGCAGAGGCAGGAGGATCTTTGTGAGTTCAAGCCCCGCCTGATCTACCTAGTGAGTTCCAGGACAGCTGGGGCTACAGGGAAACCCTGTCTCAAAAAGACCAAAAAAAAAAAAAAAAAACACATGAACACAGGCACATGCACACACACACACACACAGAGCTAGGCTGTAGATCAGCAGCAGAATGTCTGCCTTGCATGAATGGAGTTCAATTCCCCAGTACTGGAAAAATAATAATAATAAAACAACAACAACAAAAATACACAGAGGAGTTGATATTTATTTATTTATGCTGTGTGAATGCTGTGGGCACAAGCACCATTGTACGTGTGACAGAGCTAGGCTGTAGATCAGCAGGAGAATGTCTGCCTTGCATGAATGGAGTTCAATTCCCCAGTACTGGAAAAAAATAATAATAAAACAACAACAACAAAAATACACAGAGGAGTCGATATTTATTTATTTATGCTGTGTGAATGCTGTGGGCACAAGCACCATTGTACGTGTGACAGTCGGAGCAGCTTTGCGAAAGTGGTTCTCTCCTTCCACCACGTGGGTCCAAGGATCAAACTTGGGTGCTGGGCTTGGTGGCAGCCACTTCCATGGGTTTAGCCATCCTGCTGGTCGCCTCTATTTTTTTCTATATCTTGTTTTTATTATCTAAAAATATGCTTTGGCTGGGTATGATGGCACATGCCTTTAATCCCAGCACTCTAGAGGCAAAGGCTGGTGGATCTCTATAAGGTTGAGGCCGGCCTGGTCTACACAGGGAGTTCAGACCAGCCAGAGCTAATAGTGAGACCCGGTCTCAGAAAATAAATAAAATAAATTTAATAAAGATATGTTTTGGACAGCTTGTTCCATCAGTATACCTGGATCTTCTGTACACCTTTCAACAAGTGTACTGAATTCAGTTCTATGAACGGGCTACAAGTTAGGAAACTGGATTATTTACAAATTATTGTTTTGCAGTTACACAGAATGTTAAGATGAATATATTTTTGGGTTTTTTAAATTTATTTTTGAGATAAGGTCTCCCTATAGTCCCACCTGGCCTGGAACTCACTATGTAGACCAGGCTAGCCTCAACCTCACAGAGATCTGCCTGCCTCAGCCTCCCAAGTGCTGGGGTTAAAGGCATGTGCCACTGCGCCCGGCTTGGTGAATATTCTTTAACATATATTTTGGAGAAGTTAAAATATCCAAAGTATTTTGATGAAAATATATGATGATAGGAATCCAGCAAAGTGCCCCACCACACAGATTCTGTCCTGTTCTGTTACTCTGTACATCCAACCAGTGTACCAAAGCTCCTTTTCTTCTTCCTCTTCCTCCTGCTCTTCTCTTTCCTCTTCTTTCCTCCCTTCCTCCCCCCCTCCTCCTCCTGCTCCTCCTCCTCCTCCCACTTCCCCTGCTACTCCCCGCCCCCAGTACTGAGGATTGAGCCTATGGTTTCATGCTTGCAAGGTAAGTATGCTATGCTAAATACCCAGTCCTCCTTTTTTTATTTGGAGACAAGATTTTGCTAAGTTGCTCAGTTAGCCTTGAACTAGCTCTGTAGCTGAGATAAGCCTTGAACTTCTGATCCTCCCACTCAGCCTCTGGAGTAGCTGGGGTTGCAGGCCTATGCCACCAGACCTGACATACTAAAAGCCATTTTAAACACTGTACATTTGCAATGCAGGTGAGTTATTTATTTATTATTTATTTATTTATATTTTATGTGTGTGAGTATTTTGCCTGTGTATATGTGTGGTGGTTTGAATGAGAATGTCCCCCATAGGCTCCAAGTGTTTGGACATTTTGTCCCCAGCTGGTGGCGCTGTTTTGGGAGGTCTTAGAAGATGTAGCCATGCTGGAGGAAGCACGTCACTAGGGTGGGCTTAGAGCACTCTTAAGCCTTGCCAGAGCTCCAGTCGCTCTCTTGCTTCCTGTGCCTGTGTGATGATGTGAGAGCTTAACTTCGGCTCCTCCTCCAGCCACCTCTGCCACCACGCCTCCCCACCATGATGGACTGACTCCTGCCCCTTTGTAACCATAAGCACAAAGAAACTGTTCCTTTTATAAGTTCCTTTGGTCATGGTGTTTCTATCACAGCAACAGAAAAGTAACTAATACAGTATGTAAGTGTACCAGATACATGCAGTGGCCATGGAAGCCAGAAGAGGTCACAGAATCCCCTGGAATGATTGTGAGCTGCCCAGTGTGGGTGCTGGGAACTGAACCTGGGTACTCTGCAAGAGCAGCCAGTGCCCTTAACCACTGGGCCACCTCTCCAGCCCCAATATGAGTGGCTTTTGTTATTTGTTTTGTCTTTGTTTTCTGTTTTTAAATTTATTTATTTTTATTTTATGTGTATGAGTGTTTTCCCTGTATGTATATAAATGCACCCATGACATGCAATGCCCACGGAGGCCAGAAGAGGGCATCTGATCCCCTGGAACTGTGGGTACTGGGAATTGAAACTAGGTCCTCCGCAAGAGGGCCTCACTCTAGCCTAGGTTGCTCTGGAACTCGTGGCAATCCTCCTGCCTTAGCCTCTCGAGTGTTGGGACTGCAGATGTAATCATACGTACCTTTGCTTTTCTCACGGTTTTCTGCTGCCTCAGAACTTTTTGCCAGGCTCACCTCTCCAACCTTAGCCTTTTCTTTCTGTCTTTTTCTTTCTTTCTGTTTTTTGTTTGCTTGCTTTGGATTTTGTTGTTGTTTTCTTTTCGTTTTGTTTTGTTTGTTTTGTTTTTTGAGACAGGGTCTCCCTGTAGTCCCAGCTGTCTTGAACTTGCTGTGTAGACCAGGCTGGCTTGGATCTCACAGAGATCTCTGCCTCTCCAGTGCTGGGATTAGCCCAACTAGAACTGCATAATCTTTGAATAAGAAAGATTATTGCTCAGCAGATTCAAACTTTAAGTACATAAAGCTGCAGATGCTGTGGTGGACATCAAAGCTGACCCCTCCTCCCACTGCCCTGCACATGCTGATGTGTCAGGTACCATATGTACACACACACACACACACACACACACACACCATGGTGTCTTTCTGTCCAATAATGAAGGCTGAATTGTTTTTCTTTCTTTTTTCTTTTCCTTGGGTGTTGGCATTTGAACCCAGGGCCTTGAACATGCTAGGCAAGTGTTCTATCACTGCACCACTTCCCCAGCCCTATGGGCCAGTTTTTAACATCTTTAGAGCATTGTTACGGTATAGAATGAGAAACAAGGATGTCTAGACTTTTCCTTCTGTCCAATAATGAAGGCTGAATTGTTTTTCTTTCTTTTTTCTTTTCCTTGGGTGTTGGCATTTGAACCCAGGGCCTTGAACATGCTAGGCAAGTGTTCTATCACTGCACCACTTCCCCAGCCCTATGGGTCAGTTTTTAACATCTTTAGAGCATTGTTACGGTATAGAATGAGAAACAAGGATGTCTAGACTTTTTTTTTTCTGAGACAGAGTTTCCCTGTAGCCCCAGCTGGCCTGGAACTTGCTCTGTAGACCAGGCTGGCCTCAGTCTCACAGAGATCCACCTGCCTCTGCCTCCCGAGTGCTGCAAATAAAGACATGTGACTCCACACCTGGCCGGGCGCCTAGATTGAAAGTGAAAGTAGAGAAATAATTCCACAGGTTCGAAGAGCAGCGTTCTGCCCGAGTGCCCTACCCACCAGGTGTACGGTCAACAGACGAGGGGGTGAGTCAGGTGTGAGAGGACAGGTCCAGTCTGCCCCTGAATGATCAACTGTCTGCGATTTCTGCAGGATGTCACGTCGAGGGCTGGAGGAAGTACAGAGGTGATTCATGGTTATTGACTTCAAGACCAAGGTTAAGTAACGACAGGAAATATAGAACAAATAAATCATAACATTTGTCCGTTTAGGGGAAACACAATGAGTGTGTCCTGCATGCACGTAACAGAATCAGCTGCAGTTAATATGGAAGGCAGACGAGAAGTCAGATGAACCACTAGTTTCATCCAGGAAGAAAACCACAGGAGTCTGAGAGGGAGGTTATGTGTGTTCGTGTTACTGTGATGGGCCAGGGCCTGTGGGAGGTGACGCTGAAGCTGAGAGCCAGAGGAGGACTGGACTAGCACCGAGACTGGGGGTCGGAGCAGATAGAGAGGCCTAGTCCAGAGAAGTCTTGTCGCATTTGGACATTATAATCAGAGGTTTCTTTTTAATTATTTTATTCTTTTATCTGTTTTTTATCTTTTTGAGACAGGGTCTCCCCGTAAGTCCAGGTGGCCTAGAACTCACAGAGATTCACCTGCCTCTGCCTCCCAAATGCTGGGATTAAAGGCATGTACCACCACACCTGGCTCTTTTATTACTTTTTTAGGTTAGGTACTAAGAAACAGGTTTGGGGCCTGGCATGGTAGCCTACACCTTTAATCCCAGCACTTAAAAGGCAGAGACAGAGCTCTGTGAGTTTGAAGCCAGCCTGGTCTACATAGGGAGTCCCAGGTCACCCAGAGCTATATAGTGAGACCCTATCTCAAAAAACAACAGGGAACAGGGGCCCAGAGAGGTGCTCAGCAGTTAAGAGCACTGATTGCCCTTGCAGAGGACCCAGGTTCGATGCCTAGCATCCACATGGCGGCTAACAACCGTCCTTAACTCCAGTTCCAGGGGCTCCAACACCCTCCTCTGACCTCAAAAACCGCTGGATGACACAGGTGCACTTACATACATGCAGGCAATACACTCATACACATAAAAAGTACATAAAATAAAGAATACATAAAACAAAACAAACACCATAAAGTAATAAGCTTCGTTGTGGTATTTTCACACCTTTGTGTTACTGTCCTTTTTTCTGGTTCACTGTCATCCCACATGTCCTCTGCCCACCTCTGGCTGGTCCCCTTCCTCCCCCAAGTGGCCCCCCTCTGTTCTTTGTCCTGTGCATTCTGTCACCCCCTCTTCACCTCTCTCCCTTATCTCTCCCTCCCCTCGTATGATCCATTTTCTAGTTTCATGACGTAGAGTCTGAAATGAAGGCATCTATGGACAGATTAGAAGTGGGGTGTGGGAATGAGGAAATTGAGGGTGCCTCGTGAGTTTGCTGCTGTGAATGATAAGGACTAGGGAGAACAGGTTTGAGTGAATCACCAATTTCCCTTGGGCCGGTGAAGTCCAAGACCAGATACATCAAGAGCAGATCTTACTTGTGCAGTTGGCTATCAACTCTGATCTTCACAGAATGTCTTAGGTAGATCCTAGATCCAGTAGATGGGATCCTAGATCCAGTAGATGGGATTCAGATCCAAGAGAAGAGAGCACTAGCCTCAGGAGAGTCAGGAGAGGTCCTGGGCACATCCTGGGGAAGCCATCATCGCCCTACACGGCAGAGCACCCACAGGGGAGATACGGACGGTGCTGTCCCAGTGCCAAGATTACTGAAGCAGTAACAGTGGACCCACAGGCATCCACAGAGGAATGCAGGCGGGCAGGGCTGGAAGGCGGAGGCCTCCTGCTTGCATGCCTCAGGGGAACAGAAGCTGCCTGTGTAGAGGTTTGCATGTCCTCTGGAGAGGTCCTGGGCACATCCTGGGGAAGCCATCATCGCCCTACACGGTAAAGCACCCACAGGGGAGATACAGACGGTGCTGTCCCAGTGCCAAGAGTACTGAAGCAGTAACAGTGGACCCACAGGCATCCACGGAGGAATGCAGGCGGGCAGGGCTGGAAGGCGGCGGCCTCCTGCCTGCATGCCTCAGGGGAACAGAAGCTGCCTGTGTAGAGGTTTGCATGTCCTCAGAGGTTTTCATGTCCTCAGTGACACCTGGGGAAGGAAGAGCCGTGGATGGAGCAGACAGGGGTGCAAAATGTGAAAAGTTAGGACATGTGGTACAGTTCCTGCTGTGAAGCTCCCAGGAAACCTGGCGAAGCTGGGTCGGCAGGCAGCGGTGAGCACCTCTCTCTGCTCTGAAATAAATGATCTAAGATACGTCAGGAGGGCCTGAGGGCGGTGCTGCGTTCACACAGGACAGCGGAAAAGTAACAGAGGAACAGGGGAAAGCATTGGCAGTATCTGTAGGGTGGTGGTGGACCCTGTGTGCAAGATAACAGCATTTTGAAATGTGTTCTGTAGAGTGAACATTTAAACTGTGTCCTTTTAAAGGACTGTGTGATCTCTAACTGTATCCCAGGAGAGTGAGATGTCTGGATTCCCACAGTTCCATTTGTACACTGTTTCCTTCCCCAGTGGCCAGGGCCGGTGCCCCGCACATCCTGCGTTTGCTGGTTGAATGTGTGGGGCTGTTCAGCTCTGCTCCTAGTGGTCACCGTCTCTGTCAGGTAACACACTGTTAGTCATTGTTTAACCTGCAGCTTCCTGATTCTGTTGTGTCCTTTCTTTTTGTTGCAATTTAAATATTTTAAATTTAAAAATCAGTACTATTATTTAAAAATATATTCTACATAGGGAGTGCCGGGCCAGTTGGGGCTACAGGGAGACCCTGTCTCAAAAAGACCAAAAGAAAGAAAAAACGCTGGCTGCTCTTGCAGGCGACCTGGGTTCGGTTCCCAGCACCTACATGGTGGCTAGCAACCGTCTGTAACTCCAGTTCCAGGGGATCCAACGCCCTCTTCTGACCTCCACAGGCATTGCATGCATTCATAAGGTGCACTTACATGCATGCAGGCAAGACACATGCATATAAAAAAGTAAATGAATTTTTAAATTTTATTTATGTATTTGTTTAGACAGGGTCTCACTGTGTAGCCTTGGTTGCCCTAGAAATCCCCATATAAATCAGGCTGGCCTTGAATTCACAGAGATACACTTGGCTCTGTGCTAGAATCAAAGGTGTGCACCACCACCCGGCCTTTCCCTGGGAGTGGACCTCACGTCACTCCAGCTCTACCACCACAGACATTGCTGTGCTGTGCTCAAGGTCCTACAGCCCAAGGTGGGAATTCCCATGATGCTTACCCAGGAACAGGACCATGGGTCACACAGGCCCTTGTTGACCTGAACCCTCATCTGAGTGGCTGTGCAAGCAAGCGATACACCTGTGCCCATGGTTATTATCCAGCTGTCCGGGTTTTGTTAATCTGATGGGTACCCAGCAACACCAAATTGCTGTGTTTATTACCACATAATCTCTGGTCAGTTTGGGCATTTTATTCACATGGACCTTAGTAGTCTCCTCTGCTCTCTCTTCTGTAAATTAATTGTTCAGATTCCTTGCAAATTGTTCTGTGGAGCTCCTGTGTCTGTTGACCTGCAGGCTGTCTTTTATCTTTTGTAGACACAAGCCTCTTGCTGGTTTGGACAGAACAGTCATCTCCTGATCTGTCGCTTCTCTATTAATTTTGTCCATGGTGCTGTTTCTCAACAGAAATAATTTTAATGCAATTAAATCCAAATGGATTTACCCATTTCCATTGTGGATTGTGGTTTTAAGGTAGTTAAGACATGATTTTCCAGCCCCTACTCAGACATTATTTTCTATTAATTCCATATTTTATTTATTTTTCATCTTTATAATTTCAAATTTTATTTATTTATTTTGTTAGTTAATTTTTGTGGGGTTTTTTGTTGTTTTGTGTGTGTGTGTGTGTGTGTGTGTGTGTGTGTGTTTTGAGACTGGGTCTCACTATGTAGCCTGGCTGGACTACAACTCACTATGTAGACCAGGCTGGCCTTAAACTCACAGAGGTCCACCTTCCTCTGCCTCCTAAATGCTGAGATTAAAGACATGCATTGCCACACCAAGCTTAAGTGTCTACTTTTTATTTTTTGTTTTTATTTATTTATTTTATGTGCATGAGTGTATTGCCTGCATGTGTGTAAGTGTACCATGTCATGCAATGCCTACAGAGGTCAGAAGATGACGTCAAATCCCCTGGAACTGGAGTTACAGATGGTTATTACCCACTATGTGGGTGCTGGGAATCAAACCTGGGTCCTCTGCAAGAGCAGCCAGTGCTCTTAACCACTGAGCCATCTCTCCAGCCCCAGCCCCAGGTGTCTACTTTTAGACAAGATTTTATATTAGCTTCACACTGAGACCAAGACCCCATCATGTTCTGTGGAGGGTCCCCCAGTAGGCACCACCTCGCCCCCAGTCTGACAAGCATCTGTGTCTGTCTCTTTAGGAACGACTTAACCGCAGAAGCAGGAAGCTCAGAAAGGACCTTGGGGACCTCCAGAGACTCAAGGCTCAGAAAGAGGAGAGGCTGCAGGCTCTGCAGGTGGGCATCTGAATCGCAGGGAGGATGTGGTATCCTGAAGGACCTCTTTTCCTCCTTTAGAGTTGTTTGTCCTTGCATCAACCTCTCAGGGAGTGATGGCTATACCCACGAAAACCTGAGTGTTGGGCTTAGCATTGGGGTTTGTGAACAGAATGACTCAAGGTGGGTATTCTGTCTTCATGAAAATCATTCCTATTCTCCCTGGTGCTTGGTGAGAATCAAAGCAGATAGCTGAAAATTACTACACAAATCACAAGGCTCCATCCTGTCCCTGACAGTCACCTTTCTATCCCTCTTCCTCACTTGAGTGAGCCCTCGCCTCACCCAAGAAGTTAAAAGTAGACAGTGAGAGAATATAGTGTGTGTGTGTGTGTGTGTGAGAGAGAGAGAGAGAGAGAGAGAGAGAGAGAGAATGGACAAGACCCAACATCTGTAGATATGCATGGGACTGTGAGGTAGAAGGGAGGTATCCTGCCTGTGTGAAGAGCCCAGCTGCCATGTGGTGGCTGGTAAGGCCAGGCTGTGAGGGAAGAAAAGAGGAGGGTCCACATTCCCACCCAGCTGGTCACTGCACAGAGAGCCAGGAAGGAGCCCTGTGACACAGTCTCAGGAACCTCTTTTCCATGGTTTCAGGTGGACTGGAGGAGCCACAGGCTGAAGGCTGAGCTGAAGAGCCAGGACCAGACCAAAGGACAGCTGCAGGACCACCCTCAGCAGCAGCTGGACCAGCAGGAGGACCTGCCAGCAGAGGTGGCCAAGATCCTTGACCTGACTGAGGCAGCCACGCAGTTCAGTGTGCTGGTTGCTGATGTGGAGAGGAGAGCCAAGGAGCTGGATGCCGGGACTCTGAAGGTGCGTTCCTGAGGCAGCCCTAAAAGAATGGTCCTCCCTGAATAGTATGCAGCCCCACTCTGGGAAGTGTAAGGGAGGCGCTCCTGGGATATGTGTTAACATGTATGTATTGGGTGGGTTGGGGGTAACTTGTCCAAGGCCACATCATGATGCCCTCCACCTCCCATGATGACACACCTTCAAGTGTGTGCTATAATGGGGATTTGATGGCAGGAACCTGAGAACCAACTGTGATTGTTACTCTTTCTCTCCCAGGATGCCAGCGACTTACTGAACAGGTACGAGCCCCCCATCCTCCCTTCCATGCATGCTAACACATGCAGACCCACATGACATGGATGTGCATATGGGCTTCATCAAGGTCAAGGAGACCCACTTTGTATTTCCATATTACATGGCCAGCGAGTGCGTAGTGAATTTGTAAAGGATCCTTTGTTTGTAGGAGTGCACCAAAGAAATTAGAAGGACTCCTCTCTCATCTTCTTCCAACCAGTCCAACCTTCAGTTAGTCACCGTGTGTCCTCGTCCCCACAGCAATCATCTGATACCTTAACCTCTGACACCTGGACACAGTCTCCTTCCTGAACCAGGCAAGCGCTTATGGCCCCCAACTGTGATGGTCAGACATGTCGGATCTCCATCATCCCCAGGGTTATTTGCACCATCCCCATATTGCCTGTAAACTGTCAGTAGCACCCACAGCCCACAGTCTCTGATCCTCCTGCCTCTACCTACTGAGGTCTGGGATTACAGGTATACACTACCACACCTGGCTGCTCTCTTCAGTTAAACAGGTTGCGGCGACAGCTCAGTGGTGAAGCCCTTGCCGTGGGAGTATGAGGTCCCGAGTTCAGACCTCTACAATCCATCTAAAAGCTGGGTAGGTGTGCTATCCACCTGTAATTCCAGCACTGGGGATGAGGAGCGGGAATCCAGACAACCAGCTAGCTAGCTAGAGCTGTAATGCTCTAGGTTCGGTGAGAGACTCTGCCTCAATAAATAAAGTAGAGAAAGGCAGGTGACATCAACCTCCAGCCTTCACATGCACACACACACATGAAAACACACATATGCACATGACACACATATACACATACTCCCCAAAAGAAAAAGGCATACACCTTTGATCCCGGCACTCAGGAGGCAGAGGCAGGAGGATCCCTGTGAGTTCAAGGCCAAGCTGGTCTGCATAGTGAGTTCCAGTCCAGCCAAGGCTGCATAGCCATAGGGCAATGTTTTACTTTGCTTTTCCTTTCCAATCACCAGTGGCCACCACATGCTCTGTTCATATTGTGGCAACACTACAACTGTTTCTTTAAAAAAAATATTTCTCTTTATTCTTTGAGAATTTCATTCATGCATACAATGGACTGTGATCATACCCACTCCCCAACATGTTTCTTAAAGAGGTGAATAAATTAACACTAATGTTTTTGGAAGAAAACAGAATGGAGAGGTAAGGTGTCTTGTCTGAAGTCGTGTAAATGGCTAATTCAAGGCTTCGTTGGAACCCAGGTCTTCAGGCTCCAAATCCAGCATCTTTGCTCGTCGATATCTGTGCCCGGTAGGGCCTGCGGTAAGGAGCGTCAGCAGCAGCCAGGGCCCCGGAACACCTGAGCATCCACTGGACACTTAGGAATAGACTGAAGCTCCTGCCACCGCGTCCCTCGCTGGCTAATGCCATCCCATTGCCTAACAAAGACGTCTCCATGCCTGGCGACCCCGCCAGGGGTCAAGTCCAGAGCGCTTGATTCCAGCCTTGGGCCCAGAGGAGGGAAACCGGGCCCTCTCAGTAGCTTAGGGAGAAACTGGACCCTCGGCCCCAGAGTCCAAACAAGGGAAAGACCTCCTGAGTGAAGGAGGCGGTGAAGGTGTAGATGTGCTCCTGGGTGACTGCGTTGGCAAAGGTCACCCAGCCAACCTCATAGTCCAGAGACACCCGCACCTTCCGGGGTTGCTCCTCCAGGGCCAGCCGTGTGGGGAAGGACCCCAGGGCTGAGACAAAGCCCCAAGCCAGCCTCAGCGCCCACACTCCCTCCTCGGGCCTCATCCGCAGCTCCCCCTTCCTGCGCACATCCTCCCGCAACACACCCACGGTGCAGCTGCCCCCGTGGGCCAAGTCGACGTTCACCACCCACGTGTGTCTCCCCCCTGTAAAGCCACTTCGGGCCAGGACACAGGTGGCCCGGTCAAAACGCTGCGGGGTGTCTGGTGAATTCTGCCATTTGTGGGAGAACCGAGCCCTCTGGTGGTCTTCGGACAGGAGAAGCTTCGGGTGGGAAGTGTGGGGGTCCAGAGAGATGTGAGCTGTGAATGAAACAGGGGACAAAGATGTCAGCAGATGTGCTGTGACTTTCTGGGACCCTTCCATACCCACCTGCTGGTGTTACAGCATCTCTGTGTACCAGGAACATGGGCATCACCAAAGACCTAGTTAGACCTACAGACTCAAGCTCTGCATCCTTCAGGGCTGCCCAGGAGGTTCACACACCTGGTGAACCCACAGACGGGGGCTCACAGACCCGGCGTGCTGCCCTCATCCCCCAGCCCTCTGGAAGGCTGTACAGCTCGTGGTGAGTAGTTGAACTTCCTGTACGTGAAACACACAGGCTGCCTAACACACTTCCTCACACACAGCCTCCTCACACACAGCCTCCTCACACACAGCCTCCTCACACACAGCCTCCTCACACAGCCTCCGCACACACAGCCTCCTCACACACTTCCTCTCACACAGCCTCCTCACACACTTCCTCTCACACAGCCTCCTCACACACTTCCTCTCACACAGCCTCCTCACACACTTCCTCTCACACAGCCTCCTCACACACTTCCTCTCACACAGCCTCCTCACACACTTCCTCTCACACAGCCTCCTCACACACTTCCTCTCACACAGCCTCCTCACACACTTCCTCTCACACAGCCTCCTCACACACTTCCTCTCACACAGCCTCCTCACACACTTCCTCTCACACAGCCTCCTCACACACTTCCTCTCACACAGCCTCCTCACACACTTCCTCTCACACAGCCTCCTCACACACTTCCTCTCACACAGCCTCCTCACACACTTCCTCTCACACAGCCTCCTCACACACTTCCTCTCACACAGCCTCCTCACACACTTCCTCTCACACAGCCTCCTCACACACTTCCTCTCACACAGCCTCCTCACACACTTCCTCTCACACAGCCTCCTCACACACTTCCTCTCACACAGCCTCCTCACACACTTCCTCTCACACAGCCTCCTCACACACTTCCTCTCACACAGCCTCCTCACACACTTCCTCTCACACAGCCTCCTCACACACTTCCTCTCACACAGCCTCCTCACACACTTCCTCTCACACAGCCTCCTCACACACTTCCTCTCACACAGCCTCCTCACACACTTCCTCTCACACAGCCTCCTCACACACTTCCTCTCACACAGCCTCCTCACACACTTCCTCTCACACAGCCTCCTCACACACTTCCTCTCACACAGCCTCCTCACACACTTCCTCTCACACAGCCTCCTCACACACTTCCTCTCACACAGCCTCCTCACACACTTCCTCTCACACAGCCTCCTCACACACTTCCTCTCACACAGCCTCCTCACACACTTCCTCTCACACAGCCTCCTCACACACTTCCTCTCACACAGCCTCCTCACACACTTCCTCTCACACAGCCTCCTCACACACTTCCTCTCACACAGCCTCCTCACACACTTCCTCTCACACAGCCTCCTCACACACTTCCTCTCACACAGCCTCCTCACACACTTCCTCTCACACAGCCTCCTCACACACTTCCTCTCACACAGCCTCCTCACACACTTCCTCTCACACAGCCTCCTCACACACTTCCTCTCACACAGCCTCCTCACACACTTCCTCTCACACAGCCTCCTCACACACTTCCTCTCACACAGCCTCCTCACACACTTCCTCTCACACAGCCTCCTCACACACTTCCTCTCACACAGCCTCCTCACACACTTCCTCTCACACAGCCTCCTCACACACTTCCTCTCACACAGCCTCCTCACACACTTCCTCTCACACAGCCTCCTCACACACTTCCTCTCACACAGCCTCCTCACACACTTCCTCTCACACAGCCTCCTCACACACTTCCTCTCACACAGCCTCCTCACACACTTCCTCTCACACAGCCTCCTCACACACTTCCTCTCACACAGCCTCCTCACACACTTCCTCTCACACAGCCTCCTCACACACTTCCTCTCACACAGCCTCCTCACACACTTCCTCTCACACAGCCTCCTCACACACTTCCTCTCACACAGCCTCCTCACACACTTCCTCTCACACAGCCTCCTCACACACTTCCTCTCACACAGCCTCCTCACACACTTCCTCTCACACAGCCTCCTCACACACTTCCTCTCACACAGCCTCCTCACACACTTCCTCTCACACAGCCTCCTCACACACTTCCTCTCACACAGCCTCCTCACACACTTCCTCTCACACAGCCTCCTCACACACTTCCTCTCACACAGCCTCCTCACACACTTCCTCTCACACAGCCTCCTCACACACTTCCTCTCACACAGCCTCCTCACACACTTCCTCTCACACAGCCTCCTCACACACTTCCTCTCACACAGCCTCCTCACACACTTCCTCTCACACAGCCTCCTCACACACTTCCTCTCACACAGCCTCCTCACACACTTCCTCTCACACAGCCTCCTCACACACTTCCTCTCACACAGCCTCCTCACACACTTCCTCTCACACAGCCTCCTCACACACTTCCTCTCACACAGCCTCCTCACACACTTCCTCTCACACAGCCTCCTCACACACTTCCTCTCACACAGCCTCCTCACACACTTCCTCTCACACAGCCTCCTCACACACTTCCTCTCACACAGCCTCCTCACACACTTCCTCTCACACAGCCTCCTCACACACTTCCTCTCACACAGCCTCCTCACACACTTCCTCTCACACAGCCTCCTCACACACTTCCTCTCACACAGCCTCCTCACACACTTCCTCTCACACAGCCTCCTCACACACTTCCTCTCACACAGCCTCCTCACACACTTCCTCTCACACAGCCTCCTCACACACTTCCTCTCACACAGCCTCCTCACACACTTCCTCTCACACAGCCTCCTCACACACTTCCTCTCACACAGCCTCCTCACACACTTCCTCTCACACAGCCTCCTCACACACTTCCTCTCACACAGCCTCCTCACACACTTCCTCTCACACAGCCTCCTCACACACTTCCTCTCACACAGCCTCCTCACACACTTCCTCTCACACAGCCTCCTCACACACTTCCTCTCACACAGCCTCCTCACACACTTCCTCTCACACAGCCTCCTCACACACTTCCTCTCACACAGCCTCCTCACACACTTCCTCTCACACAGCCTCCTCACACACTTCCTCTCACACAGCCTCCTCACACACTTCCTCTCACACAGCCTCCTCACACACTTCCTCTCACACAGCCTCCTCACACACTTCCTCTCACACAGCCTCCTCACACACTTCCTCTCACACAGCCTCCTCACACACTTCCTCTCACACAGCCTCCTCACACACTTCCTCTCACACAGCCTCCTCACACACTTCCTCTCACACAGCCTCCTCACACACTTCCTCTCACACAGCCTCCTCACACACTTCCTCTCACACAGCCTCCTCACACACTTCCTCTCACACAGCCTCCTCACACACTTCCTCTCACACAGCCTCCTCACACACTTCCTCTCACACAGCCTCCTCACACACTTCCTCTCACACAGCCTCCTCACACACTTCCTCTCACACAGCCTCCTCACACACTTCCTCTCACACAGCCTCCTCACACACTTCCTCTCACACAGCCTCCTCACACACTTCCTCTCACACAGCCTCCTCACACACTTCCTCTCACACAGCCTCCTCACACACTTCCTCTCACACAGCCTCCTCACACACTTCCTCTCACACAGCCTCCTCACACACTTCCTCTCACACAGCCTCCTCACACACTTCCTCTCACACAGCCTCCTCACACACTTCCTCTCACACAGCCTCCTCACACACTTCCTCTCACACAGCCTCCTCACACACTTCCTCTCACACAGCCTCCTCACACACTTCCTCTCACACAGCCTCCTCACACACTTCCTCTCACACAGCCTCCTCACACACTTCCTCTCACACAGCCTCCTCACACACTTCCTCTCACACAGCCTCCTCACACACTTCCTCTCACACAGCCTCCTCACACACTTCCTCTCACACAGCCTCCTCACACACTTCCTCTCACACAGCCTCCTCACACACTTCCTCTCACACAGCCTCCTCACACACTTCCTCTCACACAGCCTCCTCACACACTTCCTCTCACACAGCCTCCTCACACACTTCCTCTCACACAGCCTCCTCACACACTTCCTCTCACACAGCCTCCTCACACACTTCCTCTCACACAGCCTCCTCACACACTTCCTCTCACACAGCCTCCTCACACACTTCCTCTCACACAGCCTCCTCACACACTTCCTCTCACACAGCCTCCTCACACACTTCCTCTCACACAGCCTCCTCACACACTTCCTCTCACACAGCCTCCTCACACACTTCCTCTCACACAGCCTCCTCACACACTTCCTCTCACACAGCCTCCTCACACACTTCCTCTCACACAGCCTCCTCACACACTTCCTCTCACACAGCCTCCTCACACACTTCCTCTCACACAGCCTCCTCACACACTTCCTCTCACACAGCCTCCTCACACACTTCCTCTCACACAGCCTCCTCACACACTTCCTCTCACACAGCCTCCTCACACACTTCCTCTCACACAGCCTCCTCACACACTTCCTCTCACACAGCCTCCTCACACACTTCCTCTCACACAGCCTCCTCACACACTTCCTCTCACACAGCCTCCTCACACACAGCCTTCTCACACACAGCCTCCTCACACAGCCTCCGCACACACAGCCTCCTCACACACATCCTCCTCACACACAGCCTCCTCACACACAGCCTTCCTCACACACTTCCTCACACACAGCCTCCTCACACACAGCCTCCTCACACACAGCCTCTTCACACCTTTATCTCAGAGGCAGAAACTCCCTCCTCTGGGTCCTGACCTCGCAGTCGTGCCCCTGCCCTCCCTGGACCCTGTGGGTCATGTGCACAGCTCTTCCTCCTGTCGGGCTCTGGCTCACCTGGGTTATTCTCGCTCCTCAGGAATTTAAACTGTGGAAACCTGAGACCCACGCTTTAGCACCCTAACTTCTGCAGATGCGAACATATTGCTACATTTAGTATCTCTAATCCGAGAAAACCTATAAATTCAGGCTTATC